CCCATTGCCAAACTGGTCTTTTTCCAGGAGAAGGAAGGTCAGCCATGACTGTCAGAACAAGGCACCCACCCTACCCATCCCCCACATTCCGAGGGCCCATTGCTTGTCAAACCCCGGAGATCATCCCAGCTCCTGCGTGGACGTGCTGTGGTCTGTCTGTTTTGGATCCATGGGAGTTTTTCACTCTCTTCCATGTTTTTCTCTTCCCTCCTTTCTTCGTTATTTTTTTTCTTTCTTTGTGTGTGTGTGTGTGTGTGTGTGTGTGTGTGTGTGTGTGTGTGATTGATTGTCTTTGGCTTTAAAGGCCAAAGGTCAACCTCAGGTATGTCCCTAAGGAGCTGTCCACTTTGTTTCTGAGTCAGGGTTCCCAAGGGAACTACAAATGGGCTAGGTTGTCAGGCCCAGCTGTGGGCAGCGAGGCCCCTCCTGGGGATGCTGGGGTTGAACTCAGGTCCTCAGGCTTGCCAGGGCAGCACTTTCCTGCCGAGTCGTCTTCCTGGCCCACTTTCCTTCTGTCTGGCCATAGGCTCTCTGTAGCCCAGCCTGGTCTCGATCTTGTAATCCTCCTGCCTCATGGTCCCCAGGCCTGGGATCTCTTGGTCACTGGGCTGATGGGTGATAGCTATCGCGTTTCTTGTCCCTGTTTAGGTCCTGCAGGAGGCATGGATTCTGCTGCTTCTTCGAAAAGTTTTCCAGGAAGAAAGGCGTGGCAGGTGTGCACAAGGAAGCTCCCTGTGGTGTGGTGCTCCATGCATGGGGGAGAGATAGAGTGTGTGTGTGTGTGTGTGTGTGTGTGTGTGAGAGAGAGAGAGAGGTGTGTGTGAGAGAGAGAGGTGTGTATGTGTGAGAGAGGTGTGTGTGTGTGTGTGAGAGGTGTGTGTGAGAGAGGTGTGTGTGTGTGTGTGAGAGAGAGAGAGGTGTGTGTGTGAGAGAGAGAGAGGTGTGTGGGTGTGTGTGAGAGAGGTGTGTGTTTGAGAGAGAGGTGTGTGTGTGTGTGAGAGAGAGAGGTATGTGTGTGTGTGAGAGAGAGAGGTGTGTGTGTGTGTGAGAGAGAGAGAGGTGTGTGTGTGTGTGAGAGAGAGGTGTGTGTGTGTGTGAGAGAGAGGTGTGTGTGTGTGTGTGAGAGAGAGGTGTGTGTGTGTGTGTGTGTGAGAGAGAGGTGTGTGTGTGTGTGTGAGAGAGAGAGGTGTGTGTGTGTGAGAGAGAGGTGTGTGTGTGTGTGTGTGAGAGAGAGGTGTGTGTGTGTGTGTGAGAGAGGTGTGTGTGTGTGTGTGAGAGAGGTGTGTGTGTGTGTGTGAGAGGTGTGTGTGTGTGTGAGGTGTGTGTGTGAGAGAGAGGTGTGTGTGAGAGAGGTGTGTGTGTGTGTGTGTGTGAGAGAGAGAGGTGAGAGAGAGAGAGTAAAAGGGGATGGGAGGGTGAGGAGAGCTCACTTTTGACCTTGGGTCTGAGATCTAGGTCACCTGGCCTTGACCAGGTTGGGTGGGGGCAGAGGGAACCACCTATACTCCCTAGCTGGCAGAGCACCCCTAGGCTGGCTCGGCTCCCGCTCCCCAGACAGATGGAAAGAGACTCTACAGTTGAAGATGAGGTCCCACCTTGCTCAGCAATGTATACACCATCAGAATTCCTTTCTCTTTTATTGCCTTGGAGACATATGTTGTTGGGATCAAAATCACCAATGCAGGGTGTGACCAGATGAAAACTCCATGCCCAGCACTGGGAGGCTGGCTGGCGAGCACAGCCTCCAGACACAATGACACCCCTCCATTCCAGCCCAGGTGGCCCAGGTGTGGGGTAGCCCGGGGGATCACATTACACTCTGCAGCCTGCGCTGGGTGCCCCGGCCGGGTGGGGGCGGGGCTGGTGTGGGTCAGGGCCTGGCTGCTCAGGAAGTCCCTGGGCCCAGGCTGCCCTGGGGTGGGGGCTGGGAGACAATGAGGAGCTGGCAGGGGACCCGGATTCTTGAGCCTCAGCGTTGGCTGGGCCTCCTTTCCTCTCACACCATAGCTGTTTGCTCAGGGCTGTTCTGTTCATTTTAAAGTGCCAGAAGCTTCCACTAGGTGTGCTTCCAGTCTTAGCAGATGGCAACTAACATTTACCAAGTATGTCCTCTGTACCCCAGGCATCTGGCAGATCCCTTCGCATGTGGGGGCACTCAGGAGTCCTCAAGAAACCTCGGGAGTCACAAGCTCCTAGCCCCCCCCCCTTTATAGACTGGGAAACTGAGTCAGGAGCTGGCCAGCTTCACTGTCACTGAGCCCAGGCTGTCACACAAGGCTGTTCCCAAGCATCCCCAAAGCCTTTCCTGAGATGGCCTGAGTGCTCCAGGGACGCTTGTTTGTTTGCTCCAGCATCCAGGAAGCCAGCTGGGGTCTGCTGGGGTCTTGGGGGACTCCTCTGGGAGGGAGAGGGAGTACAGAAGACAGCCCCCTCTTGCAGAGTTTGACTGACAGGTAATGCTGACTAGGGGATGGTAAGAGAGCAGAGGAAATCTATCTCCAGAGTTGAGGAAGGATAAAAGGTGGCTTCTGGGAGGTAGGGACCTAGGAGGGGCCTGGGGAAAGGGGCAGCTCTCATGGTCCACCCCTGAGACATTGGCCTTCTGAGTTAGGCTGGGTTGGTTACCATCCACCAATGGGTACTTGGTGAGCAGGCATCAACTTTGTGTGTGTGTGGGGGAGGGTGTCCTCAGGGAGAGCCCAGCAAGAGATGGCGCTAGGATCCTTCCTTTAGGCCTTTTCTGGTAGGGGAGCCAAGAGGAATCCCTCACAAGAGTGTTTCCCATATGCAAATTGGCAGCACCCAGACTGCTCCTCCCTCTTCCATGCCTTCACCTAGCTTGCAAGGGAGAGACTCCTAAAGATGGAGCCAAGGATTTGAACTAAGAGGTTTCATTGAGCAGTACACCATAACTTGGTGTCGTTCCAGAAAGGGAGGCTGGCACTGTGGGGCTTTGGCCAAGGCCTCAGGAGGGGCTGGGGCTAGTCCACGTCTCACTTCTGCTTTGCGGCCCTTGCTGGCTGGGTTCCTCTTCTTGCCGCCTTTCCCAGGAAAGCCTCTCTGTCCCACCTCTCACCTGGGTGGCCCACTCTGGGGTGGGGACTGGAGTAAGCTGGGGTCTTGCTGTGCATGCGGTCCTATGGACAGCGGCTTTCCTGTCACCTCTCATGAAGCTCACGGGTCAGACACCCTCCTCTCCACACAGGTCAACCAGTTGTCCTGTTTCTGCTCTCTTGGGTGCTCCCCAGCCTGACTTTGGTGCTCCCCAGGGAGAAGGAGAGGACTGCTCCTCTCCCTTCCCCAGACCTATCTGAGGGTCCCTGTTGTTTCCAGGGTCCTGAAAGCAGCTTGTCATGGAGGTTACCATGCTGGCTCCTTCACAGGTTTGTCCTCCTGCCTGGCCCTGTATGTGGCATCCAGGCTGGCCCAGGGTGTTCTGAAGTGCAAGCAGGGCTCTTTTGTTTATTCATTACCAAGAACTGTAACATGGTGACCACAGGTCAGACACCCACTCACATCACAGCCCGCATGGCCTCGGTTCACAAGGAGAACCAGATCCAGTGACGGCCTCTCAGGGGTCTGCACTGACCAGGGTCACAGCCCGGGCTAAGACCTGCAGGCCTCAGGCAGCCATGTCTAAAATCCCCATGGGGAGGTTCCTCAGTTCTAGAAGGCTTTCTCACCTAGAAGGCCGTCCCACCTCACCCCAGAGCTATAAATGGGCCCCTATCCAATACCCTTCCCCAAACTCCGCCCTGCACTCTTCATCTCAGAATCCTCTGTTTCTGTGGAAGCCCACCTTCGGGAAAGCAGGGCAGGCTGGCCACCATCCCACGGAAACTGATAATCGCAAGGAACAGCAATCCACTAAAGGCCCAGAAGCAATGTCTGGGGCCTCCTTGTCTGGGGCCTCCTTCCCCGGGTCATGTGCTCTCTGGGGAACAATGGCCTGCTCCTCAGCCCTGCCTGGGGCTTGGGGGGTGGTGGTCAGGATAAGGTGCAGGTGGAAACACCCTCCCCCCCAAAACGGTGGGGCACTCTCTGGTCCCATATTTCAAGTATGCACTCAACAGAGTTGCAACCTCAGGGACCTCCCCCCCCCCCACGCCCTTGCTCTGGGTTCAAAATACTAGGGTAAAAAGCCTAGATGCCAAATCTGACCGCTCAGGTTGCTGGACTTGGGGGCAGTGGCGGGGCAAGACCATAGACTGTGTAAGTCAAGACTGTGTGTGTGTGTGTGTTTCGGGGACTGAAGTGGAGAAAATAAAAGTAATTTCCCTAGGAGGAAATAACCTTATCTCTGCATTATCTCTGCCAGTACTGGAAGGTTCCCAGAGGAAGTGGCACCCGAGGGGGGAGGGGCACGGAAAGAACGCCCCCTGAGGAGAGGAGGAATGGCCAGGGCAGCAGAGCTGGCAGCCCAGTGGATGTGAAGGGGGTGTCTGCATGACTGGAGCAAATGCAGTATTCAGGAGGGACGAGAGAAGAGCCAGGTCCAAGGGTGGCCACCTCCGAGGAGCCTTCTCGGATTCCCGCGCTCTCTCCCCGGTACTTTCCACCACCGCCCAAAGGTTCACAGGTCTCTTTTGGCCACTTCCAAGTGCGAGCCCCGAGAGGGCAGGGCCGCCCCAGATTCCTCTCTCCGCACCCCTGCGGCGTCCGTCCAGGTACAGGACACATGGTGGGCATTCGGTAAATATTTGTAGAGCGCCCAGGGAGGAATGAATGAAGCCATTGGGCCAGGCTTGGGGAGGGCGGGGCCGGGCGCAGGTGGGAGGCCGCGGGAGCGGGAGGGGCGGGGAGGTCGGTCCTCCCGCTCCTCCTCCCCGGCCCCACCGCGCACCACTCCGGGGCTCCCGAGGCGGCTGGAAGGCGATCGGTGGCGCACAGGGCTGGAGCAGCGACCCGGGGCCCCTGTTCTGGGCGCGGGAAGTCGGAAGAGAGTTTGTCGCCGGTGCCCACAGGCCCGGGCGCTACGCGAACGAGAGAGGGGAGCGAGGGCTCGCCCGGCGCCCATCCGCCTCCCCGGCACAAGCTCTCCGGACTCGAAGGTCTGCAGGCTGCTGCTCCTCCCACCCCGGCCCGCCTCCTCGCTCTTTCGCTAGCTCTCCGGAGCTGCCGTGTTAGCACTGCGGTGCGTCCCGGCGAGTGCGGGCCGAGGGGCCCCGCGCCAGGGCTGAGCAGAGGACTGGGGCGTCCGGGGCAGAGCGCAGCCGGCCGGGGAGTGGCCATGTGTGGCAAGGCCGCGGCGAAGCTCGTCTGCAGCAAGTGACCTCGAGTCGTGGACCGCTGCCCTGCCCCCTCTGCTGCCACCTGGGGCAGCGCGGGCCCCGGTGCCCCGGATCGCGCGTAGAGCCGGCGCGATGCACGTGCGCTCGCTGCGCGCTGCGGCGCCACACAGCTTCGTGGCTCTCTGGGCGCCTCTGTTCTTACTGCGCTCCGCCCTAGCCGACTTCAGCCTGGACAACGAGGTACACTCGAGCTTCATCCACCGGCGCCTCCGCAGCCAGGAGCGGCGGGAGATGCAGCGGGAGATCCTGTCCATCTTGGGCTTGCCCCATCGCCCGCGCCCGCACCTCCAGGGAAAGCATAACTCGGCGCCCATGTTCATGTTGGACCTGTACAACGCCATGGCGGTGGAGGAGAGTGGGCCCGACGGCCAGGGCTTCTCCTACCCCTACAAGGCCGTCTTCAGTACCCAGGGTCCCCCTTTAGCCAGCCTGCAGGACAGCCACTTCCTCACCGACGCCGACATGGTCATGAGCTTCGTCAACCTCGGTGAGTGGCGGTGGGAGGGGTATGTCTCAGACGGGGACCACTTTGGGACGGGGAGAAGTTGCTGCTTTCAGCCAGCGGATCCACCTTCCCATTTGCAAAGTATCAGTGCCTGCCAGAGACTCCCACACCCGGGTCTTAGTGGACAGACGCTAAGCTCTGTGAGTTCCCGGTAGGGCTTGCCGGCTCGGCGGGTTCGTGGGAGCTACCGGGAGGGAAGGATCAGTTCTGAGTCTCTTTGCCGGCTCCGCCGCTGGTTGGGGAGGGCGGTGCGGGCCCGGCCGCGGCTCAGTTCAAAGCGCTCCGCTGGGTCATGTGAGCTGAACCGGCCACAGCGGCCCGCGCTACCTGGATTTAAAGGGCCCTTGTCGGCCAAGCTGCCTTCCCGCCCTTCCTTCGCTCCTGTGACGCCCAGCCTGGCTCTGGCATCGCGAGCATCCCTTTCCCTTCCCCCGCCTTAGCCAGCCCTACCTGTCCCCTTGCGATGCGCCTGTCTCGGCGCGCGCCCGGAGAGCCTTGGGGCTCCTCTCTCAGTCGCCGGGCCCCTACCTTTGGTCTCTTGTCTGGAGCCGGGGAAAGAACGTTGCCATTGCGAGCTTTCTATTTTAAATATTTAATGATAGGTCCCGGGCGGGCAGAATCCATTTTCAGCGTTTATCACGTGTGGCGCGCAAGCCACGGGGTTTGGCGATTGGGTAGCTGGGGACCTCGGAGCAGAGGCCGCCACCGAGTGGCTAGGGAACCCTCTTCTCTACTGGAGTCCCAGCCAACCGAGTGCTGCGAGGCTGGGTTGAGTCTGGTCTGGGACAGCTCCCTCTGCATCTGTGCGCTCACATGGGTCTAACTTGCTCAAACTAACCCCCCGCGGTGCGCTGTGGGGTTGATCATCAAATATTTGGCTTTGGTGATAATGCGCCCTGGTGGTGCTGCTTCCTGAACCGCTTTTATTCCTCTTGTGGAAGTTGCTGAGAAAACCCGAAGATACCAAACACCGCGGCCACTGTGTCAACTTGGAAATAATGAAGCTTGAAGGCCACCCCTCCCCCGCGGGCACCTGGGGCGAGGAAGGGGGTCTCACGTTAATCCTTCCAGCTCCAGATAAAGGCCCCGGAATCCCTGGGAGGCCATTGTCTGCTTCCATTATTGGTCAAAAAATCAAATAATTAAACAAGGGTCATGGTGGGTGATAGAGATGCCAAAACAATATAAAACAAGTTTAAATTCCCCTTAGACACTTGTTAAGAAGAGGCCAGCTTCGGAACTGTCTCCAAGACTTGAAGATAGGAAAAAGCCCGTGACCCGAGAACTGCAGAGATTTTCCTGGGGGCAGGGCTTAGGGTCCCAGGAGACAGAGGCTGTGTTTCACTGTGTCAGGTTTTTTTTTTTTTTTTTTTTTTTTTTTTTTTTTTTTTTTTAAGTATGTAGCTTTATTACCAAAAACTCAAGGAGACCCCTAAACAACATGCTTAACATTATGTGATAAGCTCGGATGTGTGAAGCCAGCCCAAAGCCAGGGTTAATAGGGTCCCTTCCCTGGCGCGAGGGTAGGGTAGGGGCTCATGACATCTTCTCTTCTCTCCTCCTGTGATCTCCAGGAAGGTCCTAACTGATGACTCAGAGCCTCGCTGGGATCTTCAAGCAGCGACATATAATCCCTGACTCTGGTGGCAGTATGTGCTTTAGGTCAAGCAGTGTGGTCCCAGCTGGCCTCCTGCATCCCAGAAGGCCAGGTGGCTCCCGGGGCGGCTCCCGGGCCCTGCTGGGAACTTGGCGGGGGCGGTTGCTCCCCCCTGGCCTTGGGTACAAGCAGAGGCATGCTGGGGAGGCCACAGCTGGGTGGCTTCCTCGGGCTGCACACACACCTCCCAGCCCATTCTTTCATGTTGGAAGGACAAAGACTGGCTTGTCTGAGCCTCTTAGTCAGTGTGGCTGGCTTCAGGCTTTTGTGGGACCATCCTGACTTTCTGGACCATCACTTCCAATTAGATAGCAGAGCGGCTTTTAACAGAACCCAAAGTACCTGGGTCTTGTTTTCTTTCTCTTTCTGCCCCTAAACTATAGATAATTAGGGGAAGCCCCACACTGCAGCTGCTAAGAGCTCCCTGTAGGTGCCTTTTTAAGTCTCTGGTGGGCCACAGGACAGGTATGGACCACCTGCCTCTGCTGGTGTGATTTCTCCCTCTGAGTGGCTTGGGGGTGGTGGTACGGTTGGAGAGGGGTGGTCTGACTGGAGACTTGTACCAACCCTGCGTTTGCTGAGAAAGTGGAGTTGGACTGCCAGTCATGTGGACCAGAAATAGACAAAGCCTTAGAGAGCCAGGTGGACTCTTAACCCCCCCCCCCCAGGGAGAGAATGTTACTGGTTCCCATCAAGCTGTCCCTTGTCACCACTGCAGCTCGGTGTTGGTGCAGACTGGCTCCCCCGGCTGCTCCTGCACACCTTCGCCGCGCCCCCCCCCCCCCGCCCACCCGCCTGCTTGGGGCCCCTGGCCTCAATCCTGAAGGCTTTTGCAGACCCTTCTGTCTGCAGCCAAACGGGTTTTTATTCTTTTAAGTTGTTCTCCCTGGAATCTAAGCAGCTTGCCAGGCCGAGCGGGGGATCTCCACTAAGGGAAATGTACAACAGAACCAGGTGGGGCTGCATGGGAAGAGCTGACCCTGAAGCCAGTCAGCGGCTTTCGTGGGGCAGCCATCTTCCCAGCTCTGGCCCCCAAGTTCAATGGCAAGATCTGTAAACTGGTTTGGATTAACCAGCCCCTGGCTCCTCTGGGTTAGACTTCATTTTGGAATTCGAAACAGGCCACACACTCCTAAACAGTCCCCGGGCAAAGTTGATTCTGCAGAGACCTTGTCCAGCCGTTAACCCCTACCATTCTTCCTTTGGAACCCCAGTTCTCTCCATAATCTACGGGAAAGCCAACTGGTTCGGAGAGGGTGTATGTGACTCCTGTTTATCTCTGGGCCAGGTTGGGAAGGAATGAAATTTGTTTAATCTTTGAAGCTAAGCTAGAAAGAAGAGAAGGTTAGAACCCTGTCATTATTGTAGCCAGCACATAAAAGTGGCTTTTGTTAAGTCAGGCTGGGAAGTAGAAGGGACACCTAGCAGTTCGGTTTTTCACTTTACCCCATCTGGCTGTCCTTTCTGTAGACAAGTGTTTGGCGTTAAGATCCCCCCTTTACCCCTCAGAACAGGCCCTACCACTGGGGAGTAGTAGGGAAAGGTTCTGTTACAATTTAAACACGTCCTTTGGGGAGGGCTCCACCGAGCATGGCTGCAGGCGGCTGCAGCTGTAAGCTGGCCCGCCTTAGAATTTGGAAGGGGCTCCTTCACATTCCAGCCCTTTCTGGTTAGCAAAAGAAGGTTAATAGAGATGTCACATGGTTTCCCCCTTCATCTTTCTTCCTCTCTCTCTCTCTCTCTCTCTCTCTCTCTCTCTCTGCAGACCAACTTCACCATAGGGGTGCACCAACAGCTGTGTTTTCAGTAACCCTTTCAAAGTTACTTTTAAACCTCATTTTCCTGGGCCTATAAATCAAAGATTTCCCCCTCCCCTTTTCCCAAGGATATTATGTGACCCAGATTTGAACTGTTTTGGATCTTTTATGTATTTCCCTTCTGCAATCAAGGCAAAGGCTGGGCCCTGGATGGCAGCTCAGATGGCTGGCTTGGGTGTTTATCCCAGGGCTGTCATTGGGGTCTGAGGTTCCCCGTGGAAGGTGGGAGGTGGAGCCTAGAAGAGCTGGTGATTGTTTCCCCCATGGAGAAAAGACAGCTCCTCTGAGGCCCAGCTCCAGAGAACTGGGTTGGGGCCTCAGCTTTAGCAACGATGGTAGCAGCCACCAAGCCTTTGCCCAGATAAACACAGATCGTGGACAATCCTCTGACCACTGGCATGCCTGTGATGTGAGCACATGTCACATGCCTGCTGAACCGGGAGACAAGTGATGATTTCATCCCAGGCAGAGTCCCGTGGACATTGATTGATTGTCCCGATCGCTTTCATATCTCGCCCACCCCGATTGCTAAGGTCATATTTGGCCCTCATCGAGCCTCACAGTGTCCTCCGGCTGCCTCCTCCACCCTTCCCGCCCTGCCCCTTCGTGTAACTGTGGAATGGAGAGCTCTTCCAACCCAGCTGCCATGGCTGGGGCCCGTCGACACACAGGGGATGTGGCTGGCCGCTGCACAGATTGCCTTCTTGGGCTCTGCTGTGTCTCTGGGGTCAGGGCACAGGCAGGGATGTATAGGATCTGTCTTGCTATTGTCAGAAGGAATGCACTCAGGGATTAGCGGGAGAGCTCGGTGGTGAGGGAGAGCCACAGCTGTGTACACTTATTATAAAAGATTTAAGTCCCACTGGTAAAATCAATATATTGAATTGCACAGCCCTCTGCTTTTAATTAGTTTAAATCAAACGCGCCCAGGCTGTTTTGCCTTCCCTTGCCTCTGTGGGGTGAGGAAACACCAATATTTACATAGAAACTGATAACATGTTCAGCTTCACGCACTCCAATGGCCTCAGCCTGATGGATCCCAGATCGACCCGGGGTTGGGAGGGATGATGTCAGTGGGATGAGGGACATCGGTGACGCCCAAGGCTTGGATCCCGATATTGGGACACAGTAGGTGTGTGCTCAGAGGCAGTGCTGGTGAGCCCGAACCTTCAAGAGAACAGCCTACTGAGATTCACCAGTTCACCCTCTAGAACAGTCTTGCAAAACCATTCTGGGCTCCACCAGCGTGTGGGGTTCTTTGTGCTGGGGCAGCTCGGGGCACAAGCTTTATTTGTTCCAGAACTCGCCTTCCTGGTCCCTGTAACTGTTTATGGAGGCAGGAGGGCTTGCATTGCAAGCGATCGCATGTGCCACCATGGCTATTATGTGAGCCAGTCCGTATTAGCTGTGTGCTCAGCTGGGATTGAATTCCCCAGGTTTTGCAGCAAATGGCATTTGACAAATACTATTTGACAAAAAATGTGACTTGGTATTTCTTAATGTGGAAC